CCTGGCGATAGCATGTTTGACAAGGGTTCTGCACCCCGGGTAAGATGCATCCCCGCAAAACGAAATCAAATTTGTTTTGAAAAAGCATGCAACGTTCAAACTGGAGGCGTCTCCTGAGTGACGGCATCCTTTTGTCAGCTCTTCTTTCCGTTGCTATTCTTTCGCAAGACTATGGCTACAGCGGAAGGTGAACAGGGGTTGGGAATTGTGGTCATCATCTGACGTCCCCCTCAGTTGAAGCCAAAACTACCCACCATTAGGTACGGAAAGAGCGAACGGTAGAATATAAAAAGATAATCAACTATCGGGAATGTAGGCTGATATTTTTGCTGCCTTACCCCCACCCTCCCCCAAAAATCGAACAATTTACGTTGGTCTGATCCCTTGAAGCATCGATTTGATGTCCTCTGGCGCAGAACTTTGTCGCCCTCTGCCTTGTTGCGTCAGGACTGAGCGTGTTCCGGCCCTAGGTAACGCAGCGCCGCCCTCATTGGCCGGCGATGGGGCAGCGGTCCGTTTGTGGACGTGGCATGTGGGTGCCACGTGCGCTGGACGTGGCATTTGGGTGCCACGTGCGCGGGACGTGCCGGCCTGCGCCCGCCGCTCAGGAGGGGCTGGCTACCGGGTAATTTGTAGGGGCTGCTGGAGAGGAGAAACAGTAACGATGAATGACGCCGGTCCCGTTCATTCACAACGAAACGTAAAATGCATGAAGCGTGGACTCACATATCAGCAGGGCTAGGCATCTTGTCAGTTGCTATGCGTGTGCCTCAACTTGTCCAGCGGCGTGAGCGTGCTGCGGCTCAGTGCGTGCACGCTTCTCCCCGCCTGCGACGGTGGGGCGGGACTGAGCGTGACTCAGCGGCGGTTCACACCAGTTTAGCCCGGCGGCGACCGCGCTCAGACGCACGCCAGCCGCCGGCTCCGGCTGCGCCGGCCACTGGCGACCTTGCCCGTAATGAGCGCCGCTAAAAACCGCGGCGCGCGCTGAACTGGGCCGGTGGCCGCCGGGCGCTCGGAGCCCCCGCCCCACCCCAGCGCCGGCGAGGCGCGCAGGTGCACGCGCCGGCACGCACGAGCGGCTCGAAGTGGCGCGAGCCGACACCGGATCCGGCTCGGCCGATTGAAAGCGTGGCGGCGTCCGAGGGGCCCCCGCCAGCTGCGTATGGGCGGAAGGAGCCGTCTGGCATGGGCTCGACGGACAGCGGCAGCATGCAACGAATGGGCCCGCACGTGGACGAGTTGACTGACTGCGAGTTGAAAGGGACGGACTTCGCTGAGATGTCGCGGTGATTCGGAGGGCGCTCCCTGCATAGAGAGGCTACCGACGTTGGGCTGGACAGATGCGTGACGGAATGATGGACTAGGCGGCTTTCATGTCATAGCGAACCTAAAAGCAGCGCCCAGTAGCCAGTTTGTCCGTGCGTCTGGGTGGAGTTTCTGTCGCGGCGTTGTCGTTTCCTTCCTTTGCGTGTTTCTGCCGCCAGGTCGCTGAGTGCGTGTTCCCAACGGGTTCCGCCCGCCAAACTGACGGCCGCCGGGGTGCCCTACCGTGCCGGTGCATGCGTGAGCCAAGGATAAGTGCAGTAGTAAACACGGCCGCCAAGTGCCGCCGGGCCGGCCAAGGCTGCGGCCGCCCGGCCGGCCGGAACGGGCCGTCATTTCCTCCGGAGCGGCGCGGAGGGCCGCGGCACGGCCGTAATGAACCGGCCGTCATTACCGGCGCTCATTACCGCCCCCGCGTCGCGGAGTCGCGTGCTGCGGTCGGCGCCGGCGCCGCCCCTGTGCCGGCGCCGGCGCCGGCGCCGCCGCGCAGCCGGGCACCGGGCGTGCCGCGCGCCGCAGACGGCCGGCGCCGGCCGCCCGAGGGACGCCTGCTGGCTGGCTGCCGGCTCGCGGCTCGCGGCCGCCGCCGGCCGTGACGTCACGGCCGCCGTGCAGTGTCGCCGCTGCAGGGGGCGTGCCAGCGAGGGTGGCGTCGCTGGCGTGTCGCCGCGGGTCTCGGGAGGCGTCGCACTGGCGGCAGGAGACCGCAGGCGTTCGGCTGCTGTGCCGGGGGCGGCGCGACACGCGAAAGCGGCTGGCAATGTGGCGGATGATTGGGATGGAGAATGATTGGGAGTGGTGGCCGAGGAAGATGACGACACATACTTTTTGAATCTGGCCAAATAGGCGTGGGCAAGATACCTGCCCCCTCCCCCAAGAGTACTCTTTCAATTTTACCACGCATGGAAAATGACTACGTCCAATACACCTGGTTGGGCAATGAATCATCTCTTTCAAGTGGTAATCCCGGCTATTGTCGATCATTTTCACCCTGTTTTTGTGTTGACACTCTTGTACTTAAGCGTGTATGTTTTCACTGCTCATTGGCTTTATGCGTACCGAAGCCCCGTGGGCTTTTGCCGTTTTTTTAAAACTAAATCTAAGAATAACAGTTCAACAACAGTTAACCACGTTTGCTTCATTTCTACGCGGCCACTGTCGCCGTCCCTAACCTGTCGTGTCGGACGCGATCCGTCGCAGTCCGACGCATCACAAACCATGCTCCCGTGGGAACGGGAGGCCGCCCTGCCGGCGGCCAACGCTGATCCGCGAAGGTCGGTGTCCGCGCCAGGCGCGCGGCACCGAGGCCCGCCACGTCCCCGGCCGTGCTGATCGGGCTGCCGCATCGGCCCGACCATCCGCAACGCTTCAGGCATTGGCGCCGAGCTGCGGCGTGTCATGAGTCGTGCCGCTCTGCCGCTGCGCCCCTCACGTGTGGCCCGGCTGTAATGGAGGCGCACCGGCGGGCGCACAACTCCGCCCAAACCTCCTTCCTCAGCGGAATCGATCACCTTGTTTACGGGCGCCCTGCGGCGGCGCCCGCCGCGCCCCGTTCGCTTCCGGCGCCGCGAGCGATCTGCCGCGAGCGCCGCGAGCGCCGCCGCCGCCGCCGCCGCCGCCGCCGCCGCACGCGCGGGGCGGCGGCCGGCGCTGGTGTCGACGTGACAAATGGGGCCTGCTCTGCGCCGGCCCCGGACAGGCGGACACGCGCGGCGGGACGACGTCACGGCGCGTCGGGGCGGTGGCCGCGGCCGGCATTGTCGGCGCCGTCCGAGCGGCCAGCACGCTCGTCCCGGTCCGGCGTGTCGAAACGCCGGCGAAGTGAGTGGCCGCGGCGTGATCGGCCGGAGCGAGGAGGCGCTGCGAGGATCGGCGACGGAAGACAGCGTGGCCGGCTGGGACACGGGACCGGGGCGGAGTCGACCCGAGTATCGGAATACGGATGGGGCACCGCACGGGGGAGGGGGAACACCCCGCCCCGGAGCGAGTGAACCCAACGAGACAGAGCCTGCCTCGGGAGGGAGGGCGGTGGCGGGTCGGCCGGGCCCGTTCGTGTCCGGTAATGGCCGGCTTCCGTGCCGACGGCTGTCGTGACCTGGCGGCGGCGGCGGCGGCGCGGGGCGTGGCGCGCCGCTGACGGCGGCCGGCGGCCCCCGGTCAGCGGCGCTGCCACAAGTGTGCCGCCGCAGCTGCGTGCGTGCGGCGCCGACAACCGCGCGGCCGGCGCCGACACTGTGCGCCGCCGGCCGCGCGGCAGGATGGCGCCGCGTCCGGAGCCGGCCTGAGTGTCCGCGCCGCCGCCGCCGCTGCCGTGATGTTCTGGACCTCGCACTGGTCGGCGTTCGAGCGCGGCCAGCCGGCCGGCGAGCCGTGGCGCCGGCGCTGGCCCCAGCCGGCCCCGCTGGCGCCGCTGCAGGAGGAGACGGGTGCGTGCTCGGGGCGGCGCTGCTGTGTCGCGCGCGCCGTGCCGCGCTGCTGTGCCGAGCGCGGTGTCGTGTTCGACTGCTGGTGGGCGAGCTGCCGCCGGGCGCCGCGCTCTGTCCGCGCCGCCGCCGCCGCCGCGGGAGCGCCGTCAGTCAGCGGGGCGACCGCGGCCCGCCTCCGACGCCAGTCACGTGACGGCCGCACCGCCGCCGGCGTCTCGGCCGACCCGGTGACGAGGACGGCGCCGGCGGGACCGGCGGCGCCTCCGAGCGAGCGGCCGCGCCGGCCCAGGGGCGCCCGGCTGGGCGGTGCCCTGACCCCGACCGGGCGGCAGGGCCCGTCAGGTGGGCCACGGTCGCCTCGGCGCCGGTCGCTTGCGTCAAGAGACGCCGGCGGGCCGCCGCGCGGCGCACGGGAATGCCGCGGCCCGAAGCGGCGTGGACGGAGCGGAAGTGGAATTCCGGCCGGGAGGGCCGTCAGCGGCCGGAGCTGGCGGTATCGCGATGGCCACGTGACCGGTCACGTGACCGTCACGTGACCGGTCACGTGGCCACCGGCGGTGCTTTTGCGTGTCGACGTTTGATCATGCGCTCTGCAGACGGGCGGGTATTTTTGTCACTGGTTTATCGCGAATAATGACGTTGCAGTGGTCGTGAGCGCGGACCGAGATGTCTACAATTTTGGTTATTGATGATGGAAACCCGCCCGCGTTTTGTTTGCGAGGCACGGGTAACAAATTAAGCTATCGTTGGCATCCAATTTCACGAAAGCTAGCTGGCGAAAGTGCATGGCTTAATGGGATCCGTTTCTACGACTAGGAAACCCCTTATTTCCCTCAGTTATTCTGATAATTTGCTCAGTCAGGAAGCGGGCTCGACCTTCACGGCCGGTCGCTCCCTCCCCTCTATTAGCAGAAGCGATTACTTCGCTGTAACTACCGCTTGATGTGAAAGCGTTCCCCACTTGCATCACGCTCCACTTGACCCCAGCCGCAGTGGCCGACTACCGAACGGTGCTGGTCGCTGGCACTTGGTCGCAGTGAATTACTGAATGGGAGATAGGGGCCGCTACTGAATAGCACTTCTCTTGGTGATTCGCCCCGACCTCGGGTGGGTACCGGATATTAGCCAGCTGTTCAGGCCCCGCGGATCTGCCGTATTAGCTGCCCCGGCGCCTGTGTTGCGGTGAGCCCGGCATGGGCGGCCAGTGCTGAAGCGATGGTCCCCTGCTCACGCCCACTCCCGCTGCAGGCTCCGGCGACGCCCCCGGTCTGGGGGCCGGTCCCGCTGCGAGGCCCCGTCCGGCGGCGATGAACAGCGTCTTCACGCGACATAGAGGTACGGAGCGCACTGCTGGGGCGTCCTTCGTCCGACCTCGCGTTATAGATCACGCCGCCTCGGGGCGTGATCGCCCCCCCCCCCCCTGCCGCGGCCCCCAGTCCCCAGTCCCCAACGGTGCCCCCAGTCCCTCACCCCCCCCCCCTCGCCGCCCAGTTAGACGTCCACAGTCGGCCGGCCTGGTCAGCCGTCCACAGTCGGCCGGCCTGGTCAGCCATCCACAGCCGGCCGTCCCGGTCAGCCATCCACAGCCGGCCGTCCCGGTCAGCCATCCACAGCCGGCCGTCCCGGTCAGCCATCCACAGTCGGCCGTCCCGGTCAGCCGTCCACAGCCGGCCGTCCCGGTCAGCCATCCACAGCCGGCCGTCCCGGTCAGCCATCCACAGCCGGCCGTCCCGGTCAGCCGTCCACAGCCGGCCGTCCCGGTCAGCCATCCACAGTCGGCCGTCCCGGTCAGCCGTCCACAGCCGGCCGTCCCGGTCAGCCGTCCACAGCCGGCCGGCCCGGCTAGCCACACCCAGTCGTCCGTACTCGGGCTGTCCCGTCTGCCCGTCCCAGAGCCCTGGCCTCCCGAGCCAGCCGGCCGCCGGGCTGCCGCTCTCCCGCTGCTATCTCTGTTGACCGTTGGCAGGCGGGCGGCACCGCTTTCGCCGAACCCTGTCGACCAGCCGCGCTCCGGTGCCGCGTGCAGTCAGCGGCGGCGACAGAGCCGTCGGTGGCCGCTCTCCGTCACTGGCGTCGGCTCCGGTGCCGCGAGCAGTCAGCGGCGGCGGCAGAGCCGTCGGTGACCGCTCTCCGTCACTGGTATCGGCTCCGGTGCCGCGAGCAGTCAGCGGCGGCGACAGAGCCCTGGGTGACCGCTCTCTGTCACTGGTGTCAGCTCCGGCTGGTGCGAGCAGTCAGCGGCGGCGGCAGAGCCGTCGGTGACCGCTCTCCGTCACTGGTGTCGGCTCCGGCTAGGGCGCGCCGGAGCCCGCTGGCCAGCGCTCAGTGCACAGGCCCGTCTCATGAGAACCGACGCCGAGCCTGGGACGAACACTTTTACCATGATCTCGGTTGTGGAGCCTCGCACCGTGCGCCTGCGGCAAGCGGACTTCTGGACCCGCGACACGCCATGTTTGTGCTCCCTGTCCCTGACTGCGTGTGTGGGATAGTGGAGTGACCCGGGAGGGGGGAGGGGGGGGGGAGACCAGTCGGTATGGGCGTGATGGCCGAATGGTTAGTGCCTTCAGCTCCCATGTGGAGCGAGCTCGGGTCCAAACTCCGGTTGTGCAATAGCGTCTGAGCACTAATATGGACTCTGCAGCCGCTGACGGTCCATACAAGGGCGCACGACGACGAGTGTCGCGTTCCGTTTTTAATGTTAACAAGGTGACTAGTCATCGGTTACACACCGGAGCTTGTCGCCGACCGGTGGGCTGAGTCCGGACGTTCCCCCGTCCCGTGGCGCCGCGTTCGGGGCGCTTCTGGACCGCCCCGCCGCGGCCGTCGGCTCCGGGGGCTCCTGGCGTACCGCCCCTGCCGCGGTCGTCGGCTCCGGGGTCCCCTGCCGCGGTCGTCGGCTCCGGGGCGCTCCCGGACCGCCCCCGCCGCGGCCGTCGGCTCCAGGGGCGCTCCCGGACCGCCCCACCGCGGCCGTCGGCTCCGGGGGCGCTCTCGGACCGCCCCTGTCACGGCAGTCGGCTCCTGAGGCGCTCCCAGACCACCCCCGCCGCTGCCGCGGGGCGCCTGGCGTACCGGCGCCGCCTCGGCCCGAACGCTGACGGGCCGCTTCTGGGAAGACGTGACAGCTCACGCGCCAGTCGCCCGGTCCGTTACGGGGCGCGGGTCCATGCCGGTGGGGGGGGGGGGGGGGGGGGGTGACGGGGTGCGGCTGCACGGCCGGCCGGTGGTCAGGGTGTGGTCGCGGGGTCTGGCTGAGACGGGCTGCAGCCGCGGGGCTGGCACGTGACGAGGCACCTCCGTGATGACAGGGGCCGCCTATGAAGAGGCGAGGGTGTCTGCAGGGTCGGTCTGTAGCGCGGGTAGTCGCGGGGTGAGCGCGTAATGGGCCATCCCCACGGTCACAGGGAAGCTCGGCTTAGGGCCCGGCTGTGGTCGGGCGGGGTCCGAGCGGACAGGCGCGCGGCGCGCTGGTCAGCTGACCGGCCGTGACGTCACAAATAACCGGCCCGAGCGGCCAGCTGACTGAAGTCACGAACAGCTGGTGGGCTGTTGCGACAGCACCGAGACAGGTCGGTAATAGTCGTGCTGGACTCCACCTTCTTGCGGTGAAATAGCAGGCAAAGCGTGGTCTGGGCTGCCACTGAAATGTAAAACGAACCCCAGGTTTTACGACGGCAGTGTCAGATGATAGGCCAGCATTCTATTCGTCTTTCAAGGGACCCTTGTTGCCAAAAGCAGGTATCTACCAAAGGTCTTCAGATCATTCGGAAATCAGAGCTTTAGATTGCGGTTTTCGGCCCACCGATCCTGCAATTTTCAATAAATCAATCTGGCCAGGCAGGATGTTACGCTGTACGGCTGCTTCGACATGCTCGGCGCCTTCCATTGTGCGCAGCCCACATTTTCTCCGCCTTGTGCGTATGTTGGAGGTGCGCGATCAGCACAGTTTAGCGAGCCAGCGTGTCCGCTGCGTCCCGGGTACATCGCCCCTACATTCCGCCGGGCATTCCGAGCTGTCGCGCCGCTGTAACGGGACCTGACACTATCGCCGGGTGGCGTGCTCTCGCGTGCCGGCGCGCCGGGCCACGCATCGGGACGCATACCCATCAGGACGTGGCCGCTGGGACCTCGTCCGGCGCCACTGGGGTCGGGAGACCCTCTCCGGCCGGTGGGACCTCGTCCGGTGCCGCTGGGGTCGGGAGGCCCCCTCCGGCCGGTGGGACCTCGTCCGGCGCTGCTGGAGTCGGGAGACCCTCTCCGGCCGGTGGGACCTCGTCCGGCGCCGCTGGAGTCGGGAGACCCCCTCCGGCCGGTGGGACCTCGTCCGGCGCCGCTGGAGTCGGGAGACCCCCTCCGGCCGGTGAGACCTCGTCCGGCGCCACTGGGGTCGGGAGACCCTCTCCGGCCGGTGAGACCTCGTCCGGCGCCGCTGGGGTCGGGAGACCCTCTCCGGCCGGTGTGGCGCTCGTGTCGCCGTGTTCTCGCCCGCCGTGATACGATGAGGTCGGCACAGCGATGGCGTGCCCATATCAGCTGCGAACGCTGCTCGGGCCCGGTGCGGCCTGTGGCCACTGGCGGGTCTCCCCGGTCTGGCCTCCGGTCTCCCCGCTGGCGCAGCCGCTGGTGACGTCACAGGCCGGAATACCCCGGGCCGCCGCCGCGGGCAGGGGGGGGGGGGGGGGCGGGGGCGGGGTGGGCTTGCGTGTCGGGCGCGCGTTTGGTGGCGCCTGTCATGCTGCCGCGGCGCCGCCTGGGCCAGCTGGCCGTAATTATTCCAAGCCACGCGCCGAGTGTGTCCCCAGCGGCGAGTGCCGCCATTCACCATACGGCAGCGGGCACGGATGTGAAGAGAGGTGAGCCCAGCTGCTCCCCTGTGCTGGAGCGCGCTCTGGGGAGACTGACGCCGGCACCTGGGGGTGACGCCCCTCGGAGCCGCTTCCGTCCTTGGAGAGCCGTTAGAGGGCACCAGCCTCACCGAGCGGTACGTGCGGCGGATAGCGACAGGTGTCCTGAGGGGGGGGGGGCGAGGGGGTCACGCTTCACGTGAGATCGGGAGACCGGGAGAGCGTATGACTAGGCGTAGGGAGGCGGAGCTACGGCTGGGCAGGTGCGGAGCCGTGGCTGAACAGGGACGGAGCCGTGGCTGGGCAGAGGCAGAACCGTGGCTGGGCAGGAACAGCGCCGTGAATGGGCAGGGACGGAATCGTGGCTGGGCAGGGTCGGAACCGTGGCTGCGCACGGGCGGAGTCGTGGCTGCGCACGGGCGGAGTCGTGGCTGGGCAGGGTCGGAGCCGTGGCTGCGCAGGGACGGAGGCACGGCTGGGGAGGGGCGGAGCCGTGGCTGGGTCGGGGTGGAGCCGTGGCTGGGCAGGGGCGGAGCCGTGGCAGGGCAGGGGCGCAATGGGAGGAAGGACGTCAAGAGCGGCCAGGTGTGGAGACGCTAACAGGGGGCCACGGGGCGGAGGCTGAGATTTGAATACAAGTGGGACATTCTAAATAAGATAATCCGCCTAACGAGCCATGGCAGAGCCTAGCCATGTGTCAGTCGGCGGCGAAGGCCTTGCCGCGCCCACGCTCGCGCTTCAGTAACGAGGAAGGCCTGTGTGAATTTCGAAACGTGTGTTCAGCCAGAAGAAGTGGAAGAGCGGAATGAAAGAAATTGTGAATGCAAAGCTGTCCTTGGTATTACATTCTGTCGAACTAGCCTTGGATGGGCCATTGGCGGACCGAATCGGCCGACCTTCAGTACCGAATGTTTTCAGTGAATGAGGAAATCGACCTTCCTCTGAGTGAATCGTACTCAGACAGCTGGCCATAAATCCACAACACGAAACTGGCCATTCCTAGCACTGCGGCCGTGAAGCAGAAGCTTGACGCGAAAGCGGTGTGCTGTCGTGTGATCTGGCCATATTCTGTCTTCGGCGAGACAGCGGTAGTTGGACCGTCAGTGGTCGGCCTGCTGGGCCGTGTCCCCTAATCTGTTCACCGCCGATCCTCACCGCCGTGTGTCCCTTCACGGGATACACCGCTGTCCTGCCCCTTCACGGGATACACCGCTGTCCCGCCCCTTCACGGGATACACCGCTGTCCTGCCCATTCCCCGACTCCCTTCTATGCCGCTCGATGTGTTCTCTATCCAGCGAACCACGAGGCGTCCCTCACTGTGCATGTCCGTACAGTTGGGCTCCCCGGCTGGAGTGCATCAGAGTTGGTGCTGGGGGCCGTGCCGTACACTGCCCAATTTTCTGAAAGGTCCTCTTCTCATTTATCGTGAAATGGGTATTTTCGCACCAATCCCGACTCAAACACAATCTTGGGGCGGGTTATCCCACCATGTTCCGATTTGCCATCGTCCCCTGCCGATCTCGGGGGGGGGGGGGCCGTGACCGCGCCTGTGCTCCCCAGCGCCCTTTCGTGCGCCCTCCCTGACGTCCCAGCCGAGTGCCGTGTTCCTCTCGTCCCCCCAGCCGCTCCGACCGACCCGACCCGCCATGCGCCGGCGGCCGTGTGGAGCGGCGGCCTCCACACGGCGGCCTCCGTGGCCTCCCGGTGGCAGGGACGGAGCGCTGAATCACCGGCCGCCGCCACCGCCGCCGGAAGAGGCGGCCGCCGGCCGGGCCAGTCGTGCCGCCGCCGCCGCCGCGCAGACCACGCCGCACGCGCGCGCGCATGGTGTTCGGCCGCGCCGCCACGCCGCCCAACGCAGCCATGCAGAGCGATCGCCAGCTGCAGTGTAAGTGGAAGGAAGTGGTCTGTGCGCGACGCCCCGGTGTGGCCGGCCGCCGTGCGTCGGTGGCGGCGCGCGTTCGGTGGGAGGGGGCGCTGCGATGGGACGGTGGCCGCCCGTGGTCTATTTGGCGGCTGTCAAGAGGCCGCACGGTTTGCCAGTGAGCGAGTTTGGTGCTTCTTGTTTCGGTGGCGGGTGGTCGTAACCCACGGCGACGGGTGTTGCCCCCATCGCGGCGGGGTTTGACTCCACGGCGGCGAGCCGTACCGACGGCGGTGGGTGGCGCCGCGGCTCGGCACCGCGCCAGGACCGGTGCCGGCGATCGGCCGGCGGGAGCGGGCGCAATGACCGAGCCGGTCGCCGCCGCCTCCGGTGCCCGGCGACACATGGGCTGCACCTGCGCCGGCCGCAGCTCCCCCCGGCTGCCTGCTTCCGCCGGCCGGAGACGGCGCGTCGCGGAGGCGGTCGCGCGGCGCCGCTGCCGAGCCGGCGTCGTCAGCGGCGCGTCGCTCTGTTTACGGACGGCTGCAGCGGGACGGGCCGCGCTGCGAGCGGCGCCGGCGGTGGCCGGCCTCTCCGCTCGGCCACGCCCTGTCCGTGTCTCGGCCCGGCATTGTGCGTGGGCGGCGCGGCCAGGCCGCTGGAGACTGCGCTTCCGGTGAGGCCCGGTGGCGGCGGCCGCCCGGTGGCGCCGCCGGCCGGTCGCCGCCGTCTCTGTCCCGGCCGCCGCCTGCGCCGGCCGCTCGCCAGCGCGGCCGCCGCTGGGCCGGACGGGCGGTGGTGTTTATAGCTGGCGTCTGCAGCTGCCGGCGGCGCGGCGGGCGACCTGCAGCGCCGGCCGTCGGCTGCCCGGCCGGGCGGGCGTGCTCGAGTGACTGCCGCAGGTGTCGGCGGCGGCGCGCACACACCTGCGGCGCTCGAGCCACGCACGCCGCCGCCGCGGCCGACGCCCCGGGCCGGCCCGGCCGCGCCGCGTCGACTGCAGCCTGGATTGGGCGTGGGCGGGGCGGGGGCGGCAGCGGGAGCATCCAGCGAGCGCCGACGTGTCAACAGAGCCGGGCCTGAAGGCCGGCCGGCACTGCAGCGCCGTGCCTCGCAGGGATAGTCAGGCGGTGCCGGTCGGCCGCTGCCGGCAGGACGACGCCCCGGCTGTGTCCGCGGCCCCAGCTCTCTGCTGCGCGGACTGATCACAGCCCGCCTGCAGGCCTCTCCCAGAAGGCTGTATCGGTTTAATCTTGCTCAAGACCTGTCGCAGCGTAGGAAAACGTTCGCTTTCGGTCGTCAATATGCGTTTAAAGCGCAATTCCTTGAAGTGGTAGGAAGGTCGGTATCTCGAAGGATATTCGTTATCGGTGCCCTCAGATAGAAAACACAGCAGGATGCCTTTAAGCAACGCCATCACAAAAGCTTTGTCCTTTATCGTGATAGGATTGGGACCAGCCAAGACAACATGACTAGGACCAGATACGAGGACCAGATAAGATAGAAGCAGGAGGTGTGATCAGCAGCCGGGCCCAGGTCGCCGGCCTGCAGCGGTGGCCGCGCGACCTGCGGTGACCCCTCGTCCGGTCAGGACGGCGGCGGCCCGACGGCAGCGCCGACCTCGTCTCTCTGCGCCACGCGCCTCGCAGACGGACGGCGCGCTGCTGCGCGCGGGCGCGGTTGTGTTTGGCCGCTCATAGGGCCGGAAGCGCGGCCGGCCGTCTGCGGGCGCGATAACGGCCGGCCGCCAGGGAGCGCGGCATTGCAGGCTGCGTGGAGCTCGGCGGCGCCGCTGGGCCGTGCCGGGCGGCGTCCGCGGAGCTCCGAAACTTCCCGTGGACTCGTGGGACGACGCGGGGCGCAGCACGCCACGAAACTGCAATACGGCGTCGCCCTAAATGACCGTCGCTAGCCGACACGTCACGGTTGGCAGATGGCCCACAATGAGCGAGAGATCTGTCAGTTTAGGGTGCCGAAGATTCGGTCTTGGAACGATCGAGCCGGTTTGAGATAAGCCCAGTCGCATACAGGTGTCAGCCATGTGTCGATCTGATGGACATCCGAGCCCCCACCGGCCGCCTTCAGAAGTGATGTCGGTCCGCGGAGGAAATATTGATCTGATTAGGATTCCGGGGAGCCAGCCCGCCGACCGCCAGACTCCGGGGGGATCTGCCTCTGGAACGAGGCCCGGTCTGTCCGAGTCATGCGGCGGGCTGACTCGTCGATGACGTCACGAGAGTGCGCCGGCACCTGTCGAGGCTGACTCGGAGCTCAGTCAAGGGGCCTGCTCCTGTATCAGCGAGCCTGTGGGGGGCGTGAGTCACGGTTTTGGCCATGCCGCGCTGGCACGGTGACAACACCGACCCACGGACGGTGCAAAGTCGTGGGGGGGGGGGGGGCTGTGCCGGTTTCGCCTCGTGCGCCGCCCCCATTGGGCCGGCCGGCGGCGTTACGTCACGGCGCGGCGGCCCGTGACCCGGCCCTGCCGCCGGCGCCGGCGCTGACGTCATCACCCCTGCCGTGGGCCGCCGCGTGGTCGGCCCGGGGTGACCTTGGCTGCTAACTGGCGGCTGCACCGAGCCGCGCCGGACTCTGTCCGGCCGCCTGTCGTGCCCTGTGGCGCCGCATCGCGGCTATTTTTGATAACAGGGACCCTTAAGAATGGATGCAGGCTGGCTAAGTTCTGTTCACAAGTGATTGGACTGCTCCAGGTTCAGGTTTACACACTCATCAAGTGTCGGGAGGATTGTTTGATGCCGTCCGCTGGCATGGGTCTTCCTGTGTGCTGAAAGCCGGCTATTTTCAGCGCAATTGTAAAATATAAGGGGTATCATACATCAAGCCCTGCAATGCGCCGGGACATGCCGACCTGATCATCTGTTAGTTGGCTTCATGATGGCTCTAGTCAGAAACGCTGTTACGTGTCTTCGGCTGTTTGTTATTTCAGATCTTTTCGATTTCTCTTGGCATGCTGAATACTTGATGATCAATGTGCTCAGAGGGCGGAAACGGCGTCGTGCGGTGTTTTATTCTATGCTGGGTGGCCTTCGAGACGTCTCAAGCTGTAACGGCTAACCAGACGCGCTGGGCCGTGCGGCATCGGCCGAGCGGCGTCGCCAGGCCAGCGGCGGCGCCCCCGGTGCCAGGTCCCAGTCGTGACCGGCAGCCCGGGCCCGGCCGGCCGGCGCGCCGGTCCGTGTCGGTTGCGTCAGACGGTTGACGAAACGCGTCTGTGCCCGGCAGTCGTTCATCGGGGTCGATTAGCGGTAACCCGGACGCGGGTGTGGATCGGCGCTGCCCCTGCCCTCGCCCCACCCCACTGCCCCCTGCCCCTGCCCCCTGCCCCGTGAACTGATTGCGAACGTGACACCCGGGCTTCGATAACGCCGGTGACGCGGTGCTGTGCCGCCGCGCCGGCCCTGTCGCCGAGTGTGCCCGCGCAGTGCAGTGGCAGCGAGCTGGGTGGCCCGTGTGTGTCCTTCAGTGGGGTAACGTCGCGCCGCCGGCCGGCCGCCTCTCCGCAGATATGCCCTACCACCAGCAGTCCAGCCGCAATGTGCTGGAAGCGCTGTACGGGCTGGAGCGGGCGCCGCCCGGCCCCGAGGAGGCCGGGGGTGCGGCCGTGGCGTTCACAGGTACCGACGGTCACCACGCCTCGGCGCGGTGACCCAGAGTGACCCTCTGGGGTGTGAGCATGGCCTGCAAGGCCGACTAACGCTAGTGTCTAGTGAGAGAGAGAGAGAGAGAAGAGAGAGAGAGAGAGGAGAGAGAGAGAGAGAGAGAGATAGAGAGAGAGAGAGAGAGAGAGAGAGAGAGAGAGGAGAGAGAGAGAGAGAGAGAGAGAGAGAGAGAGAGAGAGAGAGAGAGAGAGAGAGAGAGAGAGAGAGACGGAGACGGAGACAGAACAGAGACAGAGACGAGACAGAGACAGAGACAGAGACAGAGACAGAGACAGAGACAGAGACAGAGCAGAGACAGAGACAGAAGACAGAGACGAGACAGAGACAGAGACAGAGACAGAGACAGAGACAGAGACCGAGACAGAGACAGAGACAGAGACAGAGACAGAGACAGAGACAGAGACAAGACAGAGACATAGACGAGACAGAGACAGAGACAGAGACAAGACAGAGACAGAGACAGAGACAGAGACAGAGACAGAGACAGAGACAGAGACCGAGACAGAGACAGAGACAGAGACATAGACAGAGACAGAGACAGAGACAGAGACAGAGACCAGAGACATAGACAGAGACAGAGACAGGGCAGGACAGGGACAGGGACAGGGACAGGACAGGGACAAGGGACAGGGACAGGGACAGGACAGGGACAGGGACGGGACAGGGACACAGGGACAGGGACAGGGACAGAGACAGAGACAGAGACAGAGAGAGATCCACAACAAGCCCGCCCGCCTCGGAGGCTGCTGCCGGCACCGGCTAGCGGAGTTTGGGCGACGCTTCAGTAGGTGCACATAACTTAGCTCATGCTCGCGTATGCGCAGCTGGTGCGTATTGGAATTCCGATGTCAGCTCGGGTGGCGCCGAAGGACCGTTCGAATCGATGGCAGCAAAGCATGGGAAGGTAAGGCCGGTCTGGATGTCTGCTGCCTAACCTGACCTAACAGCTCGGATAGCCAATGGCCTGTGCACAGGATGCGCCGCTGTAGCCCGCGCCACCCCCCCCCGCCGTTTTAAACACCGATTAGCCCCGCTAGCAGACAGAGTGGCTACTAACCAGGAGTTCTGTTGTGCGTCTCGGGTCGTCGCTGCTGCTCGCTCCTGATCGGACCCGCCCTGTGTGGCGTGATGTGGAGCGGCATTGACCATCGCCCGATCCACGGCGATTGGATGAAAGACGGGCGGCGCGCCGTCGGCCCCGTCCTCGCGTGCTGCGCCTCTCCCGGCCGTCGACCTTCCAGTGGCCCGTGTGGCCCTGGTCGGCACGTGCCGCGCTGATGGCACGGCGCTGTGGATGGACCCGCCCGCGGAACGGAGGGGAGAGGTGCGGCACGGTCGGAAAGGTTGAGAGGAGTCCGCCTGTTGCCCGGTCAGGGCCTGAAGACGCCGCTACCAACCCCGACGAAAAAAAAACCGGCTGTGGTTGAGAAGGATGGGTAGAGGGGTTCAAAGAGTCCGGTCCATCGAGTCCAGAAATCGGGAGGGAACGTGCGGAGTGCAAGAGTTCCCGCGACTCGGACCGACATAGGAATGGGAAGAAGTGGGTTCGGGGGCGGGACGGGCGGGGAGGGGGGGGGGGGGTGGGCGACAGCGCCACCGGGGCGGCTGCGGTGGCGGCGGCGGAGACCGCTGAGCGGTCCGTCACGGACCGCTGTCGCCGCCGACGCATGACGCCCCGCCGCCGCCGCCCCAGCGCCGGGCCGCCACGGCCGCAGCAACGGTACGCCGCCGCCGGCAACCGCGCGGACCGCGTGGAGACCGTCGCACCGCCGCCGGCCCAAGGCCGCGCCGGCCGCGTGGCGCCGCGTCGTCTCGCGCCGCGTGGCGGCGGCGGCAGAGGCGCCGCTTGAGTGGGACCGCGCGCGTTGGGCTGTGACGGCTGTGGGCGACGGCGGCGGCCGCAGTGACCGGCGTGGGAGCGGCGGCGCCGGCCGGTGCGCGGAGAGAGAGCGCGCCCGCCCGACGGTGACGGAGCCGCCCGTGTCGCCGACAGATGGCACTGGCGCCGACTCCACTGGCCTCTCGCACCGGCGAGAGGGAAGGACGAGTGCGGCAGTACCAGCAGCTGCAGAGCGACGAAGCTGACCGGCGACGGCAGGAGCTCGCCCGCCAGGTGAGAGGCCGGCCCGGCTTGGCTGACGTCCGCGCGCCGCGCCGCGCCCTCCTGCCCCGCGCTCAACCAGCGCCTGGCAATCGTCTCTGACGGGACTTCCGTATGTCGTGTGTCATTTGTGGCCGTCGAGGCGTAGCCAACGGGGCGGCTCGAGATCGTCCGCGCGCTCTCTCAGCCTCGTCGCCGTCCGCGAACCGAGCGCCACCGCTTCGGCGCGCCTGGTGTGGTTCTGCGCGCCCGCGTGTGTCTGACCGCTGTTTCACCATACCAGGCTCCGTCTGCGTGGATAGCGTCCGACTACAACAGCCCCGGCCGCTCGCCGGGGTCCGGCGCCTCGCCTCCCCCACCGTGGTCAGTGGTCCGTCCCCGCCTCGCTTGCTCTGCCGCTAACCGCGCCACCCTCAGCTGGCAGCGGCCGCCGTGGCCCGGCGCGCGCCAGCACGCGCGCGCGCCGGCGTGCATGTGTGCTGTGCCGCGCGAGCGTCCTGTGACGGGCCGTGCTCGTGTGCCGTGCCGGTCAGGAGGAGCAGACGTCCGGCAGCGGGAGCATGCCGAGCAGGAGCGGCGCCGCCGCTACCCGGTAGCTGGTCTGCGCGAGACGGAGCGACGCTCACAGGTGGGGGGGGCGGCCGGCTGCCCGGGGCTGAGGGGGGCCGACACGGGCTGGGCTGGAGACAGGGGACGGCCGACGGAGTCAGGAGGGACGGAGCTCGGACCGCTGGGGCGACGGGTCACAGGCATCCTGGACGCAGGAGAGCCGCGAGACGGCCGCTGGGACAGCGGCGCACGCCAAGGTTCGAGTGCCGGTGACGTATCTGACCACGCGTCCAGCCGGGCGAAGTCCGGGACCAGTTGCCCGACAGCGGCTGTTAATCCGAGCGGGTGCCGCGTCGGGAGGTGGGCCACGGGGACACCCCCCCCCCCCTCCCGGCGGACGTCGGGCGTCGGTGTGACCGGAAACAGCGGTCCTCTCCAGGTCACTAGGTAACTCTGCTCCGCCACTAATCGCACCCCGCCCGGTGGCGTCCCTCGCCGCCGCGTCCGACTGGACCGGCTTCAATTGTCGTGCCGTGGTTGGCCATTGTGTGCTGCTCTGCTGCGACTAACAGCTGTGCAGGCCACCCCGCTCTCTGCCGGTGGAGAAAGTGGAAGGGCATGGGCGTGATTCATGCGGTGCGGAGCTTAGCTGTGAGGCGATGACAAAAAACTAATTGCGGCTCATTGTTCTGTTATGACCTAAAATCCATGCGGAGATGTTGGCAGGGTCGAATTGCGCGCCGGCTTAATGGACTACTGATGCAAACAGTTTGTTGGTGATATGGCGTTATGACCCGGTCTTAACCCGATCCTAGATGTCGAACTAGATCTCCAGTCTTTTGACCCTATCCCCGCCTTCTGTCCGATTGCTAGTCTCCGGACCTGATCCTCGCCTGCTGAGCCGATCCCCAGCCTTCTGACCCGGTCAGCTTTCTGACCCGACCCACCTTCTGACCCATCCCCTTCTGACTCACCCCCTTCTGACCCTTTCCCCCTTCTGACCCGGTCCCGCTCCCTTCTGACCTGATCAGGCCCTCCGACCCAGTCCCCTTCTGACTCCATCCACCTTCTGACCCCTCCCCGCTCCCTTCTGACCTGATCAGCCTTCCGACTTGATCCACCCTCTGACCTGATCAGCCTTCCGACCCGATCCGCTTCTGACCTGAATCAGAACTTCCGACCCGATCCACCTTTGGCCCGATCCCCAGTCTTCTGACCCGATCGCTAGTCGTGTAGCCCGACACACCGCCTGCGCCTGATCTGTGTGACACTGCTGCGCCGTCACCTGTACGACCCCCATGAACCTGAGGGGTGGGCGGAACCGTCGGCCCAGGTGGAGGACCGCCGCCGTCAGATGGAGGAGACGGAGGCGGAGCGGCGCGCCGCCATCGCCCGCCGCAACCAGTGAGCGGCGAGGCCATGCTGGAGACCGCGCCGCCAGCACCAGACCAGCCAAATCATGTTGGGCTTCGGCAGCGCCACGCCGCGCTGGGAGGTGACCGGCGACATGGCAAAAGGTCAGCACAGCGCCGGTCCAGCCAGCACCAGCCCGCCGTAGGGGCCCCAGCACCGGGCGCTGGGGCTCTCCGGCGGCTCGGGGGATCGGTCAGCACGTGACGCCGTGCCTCCCAAGGCGTGGGAAGGTCAGGGAGGGCCTTAAGAGGACGAAGGGGTTCTACCTAGTGTACCGCCGGTGACTTACAGGCAAAGCCAGGCGCCGGGCGCAGCGCTGGTGGTCGGCAGCGGTCGGCGGCGGCCCGGCTGGAGGCCGCGCCGCACACGCGGCCGCTCGTGGCCCGTGACGGCCTGGCCACGAGCCTCGCATGACGGCGGGGCACTGGCCCTTGGCGGAGCGGCCACGAGGCGTGCATGACGGCGGGCACGTGGCCCGTGGCGGAGCGGCCACGAGGCGTGCATGACGCCTGGCGTGCGGCTCCTGAACGGGCCGCGGCGGCAATGCTTCTGCTCAAAGGCCGGTTCGCGGCGTGCTGAGTGGAGCTGGTGTCTGAACTGCATGCCGTTTCTCGCACCGTTGTGGGCGGCTGACAGGTTGCGAAACAGTTTCTCTTGGTTTCGAAGTCCATTGGAAAGGGTTCGTTCGCATCCGGTTTGGAATCGTTTGGCTGCGCACGCGTGAAGGGCATAGGACGGTGGTGCTGGATATCAGATAGACTGTCCACACGACTTTGCAGCGCCGCATGTCGTGTAACACGACCCCATTTGTTAGTTGCGCTTGTCTTTGATCAGGTTCGACGGCCCTTGTCTTGTTTCTGCACGAGTGTGTAATTGCACTAATTTGTTTTTGTGCGCCGCCCGTTTTTCACGCACCGCTGTCTGTCGCGCAGTGGTGCAGCCAGCCGGCCTTCCACGCTGATTGTCACCGCTCGGTTTTGTTCGCTCCGCCCGTGCGGTCGCCGCCGCCGGTCGGCTCGTGCCTGACCCGGCCGGTGCGCGCCGCCGCCGCTGACGCCGCCAGCTGCCGCCCGGTGCCGGTAGGTACGATGAGTTCTGGCGGCGGTCGGGCTCGCCGGTCACGTCCCATCTCATCCCCAGATGGACGTCCGCCTCGCAGATCGACGGCGCCGGCGAGCGGCACTCGCCGGACGGTAAGCGCCTGCCCGCCGCCGCCGCCGCCGCTGCGCCGCCCCCTGGGGACGCCTCTGCACGCCTGCAGGGCCAGGGTGAGCACGCGGCCTGCGCTGGGGCTGGGGTCGGGGCCGCGCGGCGGGCACGCCCGTGCTGCCGCGGCCCCCATGAGCGACCTCTTAACTGGCTGTGCTGGCGCCACTACTGGCCTGGGACGTGATGTCGCCTGTACTGACACCGCCACTGGTTCGAGGATGTCACGCTGTTCATCCCCCTTCACTGGCTGCGCTGGCACCGCCACTGTGCTGGGGTGTGTAATGTACAGTACACCCATCCCCGCCGGGCCACGCTGGCACCGTCACCGAGCCAGGATTGTGATGCTGCACAAGTCCCTCTCCCTGGATGCACTCACGTAGCTGTTCGGCTTGGAGCCGGCGGCAGCGTGTCTCTCTCTGGGAGTCAGCTGCTGGGTCGGCTGGACTGCGCGGAGACGGGAGTGAGACACGGACGCGGCCGGCCCGACCGCGGCCTGCGAGCGGGAGAGAAAGGGCGGCCGCTGGGCCGGAACGGGCGCGCTGCATGAAACCGCATGTGAATGTACCGGGCGCAATTGGTTCGAGGAAGGGCCGGAGCCGTGCACGAGACAGACTGCGGAACGCGTGTCATGACCTGCCCAGAGTTCCAGGCCCGGTGATCGCTGGCCGTGCATCCACGGCTGTCATTTATTCTCCGACTGTATCATTACTGAAAGCGGGTGCGTCTTTCCCGTACTTGTTTCATCTATATGCGTACGCAGTGTGTTTCGTAGCGTCGGTAACAAGTAGTAGCCTAGCGTCGGTAACAAGTGACCTCACCTCTGGGCGGTGAGCAGTCCAATTTTGCATTAATGGCGTTGGTTGCAAGTGAAGGCCAGGTCACGAGCGGCCGCACCACACGCTGCCAGTTCCAGGGGTTTGAGAACTAACGACCTTAAGAGCAGTCTGAGCTCCAGCCCAGGCTGAGCTGGGACTAAGCACAGATTGTTCTGACAGATCTCGCGCTCAGACGTCTGTCCCGTGTCTGGGACAGTCGGCAGGTGCTTGGCCCCGTTCGCCCGGGCCGCCGGGCTGCGTCGCCAATGGGAAGGCATGACCCTGCGAGACATGGGTGCTTGCCTGGCACCAGCAACTGGTCTATCGTTTCACTGGCTTGTCGTTTCAACCCGCTTTGCCCCAGTCGGAGCACCAGTTTGGGGTCCTAGAGGTTGTCCCCCCCCCCGCCCTGGCGTCGAGCCCTGGTGACGCTGCTGCGGACCGGCCGTCGCCGACCGAGCGTGTCGTGGCGCTCCGTTTGCCGCTGACGACGCGTGTGACGCTCCCGCCCGCCGCCGGCCCCGTCCGCCGTGCTGACCCGAGCCCGGCCCGGCGTTTCAGCCATGCGCATGTCGACGTCCATGTGCGAGATATTCGGCTGGGCCGACGGCGGCGGCTCGGCGGCTCCGGCCCGGCGGGAGCCGGCAGGAGCCGGGCCGGAGCGCAGCGCCGGTGAGTGCCGCCGGCTCCGCACCGCTGGCGGCGGCTCCAGGGTGCGGTGGCGACCCCTCCGCTGCCGGCCGTGCTGAGTCCTCGGCCGCGAGACTGGCTGCTGGCCGGGCGGCTCTCACGCAGCGACGCTGGGCTCGTGTTCGGCTCTGTTGGAGGCTGCTTGCGTTTGCGCGGACGTGCCGGTGGTGAAGTCTCCTGACACGGTCCGCGCAGCGCCCAGTTTGTTTTTCCGCCGATGTGGCTTCGCATCTCCTTCACGCACACACGACGCTTCAGGTGTGGCCTGCGTGTGTAAGCTTTTTTATAAGGCATTCATCACACTTGTCCCTGTACATATGCACAA